GGTACCGAGGGCCGATGGCGTCGGCCCGTCCCCGCCGCGGCCCCCTCGCCCCGCTTGCCTCCTGGGCCGGGCCGGCGTCCCGCCCGGTGCCCGCCGCGGGAGGAAGGCCGCGGCCCCGGGTGTCGCTCTGCCGGCAGCTCCCTCCGGTCCCGGCGGCGCAGTGCAGGCTCGCCTCCATCTTGTGCGGCGCAGCGAGAAGGGGGTTAACACCCGGCGAGTGCGGCCCCCGGGAGAGACGGCGGCGCCGCCGCCAGCGGCCCCCTCAGAGCCGCCGCCGGGGGACGGCGGGTACTCGGCTCCCGCGGAGCTCATCGCCCAGAGGGAGGGAGTGACCCGGGAGGAGACAGGCCCTTTGCCCCTCACGGAACCAACCCAGCAGCACCCGCCCTGGCCAAAAGGGAAAAGCTTCTAAGGGCCCTGGGGGCCTGTCCCCCCACCCCGCTGTGGCTCCGCTCCGGGGCAGGGCTGGGCCAGCTCCTCGGGAGGAACAGAGAGAGGAGGGAATGGTTCCCATCTCTCTCGGCAGCATGGAAGGGACTGGAGCCTGTCCGAGCTCTGCCAGCTGAGTCCAACCCCCTCTTGCCCACCAAGGAGCCCGACGGGCTCCAGGGGCCAGCGCTGGCCTGGCAGCCACAGCCCGGGGCCCGCTCCTGAGCTCCCACCCCGAGAGCAATGCAGGGGCTGGAGTGAGGGGTGCGTGGGCAGCTCTCGGGGAGAGCCTCTGGGGCCCAGAAACCTCCTGCAAACCAAGATCACACCTTGAACCTGTGACCCCTGTGCCTGCCTCTGATGGGAGAAGATGCACTGCAGCCCCCCACCGTGGGGCCTGGCCGGTTCCTCGCACTGGGATCGATCTGCTGGGCCATGGGCCCATGCGACCACAAGCCACCAGCTCCCGGGTGGGGCTGTTTGTGGGGCCAGCGTTCCCTCTGGCTGGGCTTTGGACCTTGTGAGAGCGTCAGCAGCACTGCTCCTGCCCCACTCCCCGGGGAAGCCTTCACCTTGGGTCTCCCCATCTCTCGCCTGGGAGTGACCAGTTGGGGTACGCAGCTGCGGGGACAGGGACCCTCCTTTTTTGGCACAACAATAAACACTTTCCATCGCTGCCGCTGCCGACCCCACAGCGTGTGAGCTCACCTGTGTGACCGTCGGGCATCCCGGGGGCATCCGGCTGGGCTGAGGGGGTCGGCTTCGCCACAGGGAGAAGAGCGATGGCCCCGGGGGCTTGAGGGGAGCCGAAGGCAAAGCCCAGGAGCGCAGCTTGTGTCACAACAGTCCCGACAAGAGGAAACGGGACCAGGATCCATCTTCTGAGGCAACACCCACAGCCAGGCCCCCCCCGGCCCTGCCCTGGAGCCAGTGCTTCCCAACGCTCCCGCAGGGCTCAGCCCATCCCTCCAGGATCTGCCTCTGGCTCTGCGGGGACGGATGGGGAACGCACCCGGCGGGGGGTGTCCAGCCACCCCGGAGCTGGGACTGCAGGTACAGCCCGGCTCTGCTTGCCACCGTGGCCACCGTACCCCCTCCCAGTGGAACCGGGGACAGTGCTGCCTCCCCCCCGGGCTGTGCCGTGGCCACCACCCCTGGCCAGTACAAGCCCAGCACCAGCTTCTCCCCAGTTCCCACTGGCCAACGGGAGTCACGGTTGGGAGCCAACGGAGGCGTCTGCCCTCCCAGTTTGGAACTGGGGCTGCTGGTCCTTCCCCCAAGCGCTGCCCCCCAGCCCCCGAACACCACGGACGGCCCGGCACCGGCTCCCGGCTTTATTGTCACTCGCCGTTAGAAAGGGGGACCGCGGGGAGGGGAGCAGGGGGGGTCTTCAGACGTTGTACCCGATGAGGCCGCGCTTGCCGATGATCTCCCCGATGTAAAACCACATCAGCACCTCGGTGGCCACCAGCCCGTTCCTCAGCGCCTCCTGCCAGGGGAGAAAAGCCCGTCGGTTGGGTGCGGGGCGACGTGGGGGGGGGAGTACCGCCCGATGCCGGTGCCCGTCCCGCCCGTACCTTGACGGTGAGCTGGGCCAGGCGGCCGCTCTGGAAGGCCCGCACCATGGCCTTCATGCTGTCCACGGCCCGCGGGATCTCGGCGGGGGTCGGCGGGGCCAGCTCCACCTTGGCGTAGTACCAGAAGGTGGCCAGGCGCGGCTTCGAGTAGGCCAGGGCAGCTGCGGGAGAGGCACGGGCGGTTCCTCACCGGCAGCGCCCGCGGGACCGGGCCCCGGGTCCCCCCTCCCGCTCCCCCGGTCCCCCGCCCCGCTCCCCGCTCCCCCCGCCGGTGCCGGTGTCTCACCGCTGAGGAGCT